TCGGTCATCTGTTACCAATAGACTAAAATGCAGTTAGAAGCTAAATGAGTTAAGGCCTTGCACATTTCTAGATTATATGTGTATTGTAAGCATGTAGGCTGTTATCCTTCTATGCTCTAGTCTTTAACACAATAGATTGTGAAGACGTCGCGCTTCACAAAGCTTAAGACCCTCTGTAGAATAAGCAACAACTCTTAATGAGCACAAATACTTTGCAATGTGTATGAAATACTTCTGGCCGTACCTCTAATAAAAGTTAACATAATGGAAGGATCCTTAAATTAACATCTTCAATAAACAACTCTTAATGCAATATCAATACTGTAAGAAATATTATTAATAGAATAAAGCTATAAAGAATGTTATTAATGCAATTATAATAATGCAGGTTATATTGCAGCAATAAAATAATTTCCTCTATTTCCACAATTACATTTTGTATGATGGATTATGCAGAAAAAGTAGAATTGGGCTGAAAGATCTATCGATTTATCACCTATTCAGGTTGTAAATCTTTTTTTAAAAAAGTAACTAAGTAATTAATTATTTTTGAAAATAAGTAATCAGTAAAGTAACGGGGTTACTTTTGGGGGGAAGTAAACAGTAGTTACTGATTACTTTTTTCAAGTAACTTGACCAACAGTGGTTATGTATATATAATTTCCTCCACCGCCAACTGGTTAATCCTGCCAAAGTCGATATTTTAATCCAACCCATGACAATGAAATAGAAATCACAGCCAAAACTCTGTCTCCTCCTCTCTGGTGTGTTCAAAGATGCTCATCAATCATCTCTAATTCCTATGTGCCTTTTAAAATAAAGAAAAAAAAATTAACAATAGAGAAAATGTTTTGTTTCTTGGATTCAAATTAATGTGACTGAATCTCAGCCACAGTGAGTGGACGAGATTCAGCAGATTCTATTTTAAACCAACAATCAGAAGAAAGTTGCATTAGAGACAAGGAGGAGAACTGAAATAGCTTTCAGACAGAGGATGAACTGGATTATAGGATATTATTATTGTTGTTGTTGTTGTTATCTTACATGAAAGGCTAATTATTATGAGCCACCAACAGAAACATCTCTGCTTTTAAGCCCAAAAATGTACTTACTCCAGTGAATAACTAAGTAATGTTCAGCATTACTTTTAAGAAAAGGAACCAGTAATGTGTAATATTTTATTTTCGTTTTGAGTACCCACCCTAACACAGCATGTGAACTTTACTCTGACTTAGACTCAGTCTGAGCAGTCAGACTGCATTTTTCCAGAGTGAACACACACACACTAAAGTCCAGAAGCTGCAGTTTAATCATTCAGATCTGACAGACTATGAGGTCTTTTATTTATTATTCATTGCTGTAGAACAGCAGTGGGGACAGAGCCTCTTCTTGGTAGATCCCACACTTTATGCTGACTTGTGTGATGGGCTTGAAGTCGGCCTCCACTGTTGTTCATTACATCCACACTGACTTCCTGATGAAGGCTTTTAGGTTCCTGTTGATCTTATACAGTTTTAGGTGTTCCAGGCTCCATGTGTGAGTCGAGTCAGGCCTTCTTGTAATAATCCAGGTGGTGCACAGGTTGGTCAGTCTGGTCTTGCAGTCTCGGCTGACTGCTTGGTCTAACAGGATCTGGTGCTCCTCTGATATTCCTAAGGATTCCTTTTTGTGCCTCGCTCATGTGTTAAATATACACTTTGAAACAATACTTAGTTTTAATGGAATGATGAATGAATACAAGTTAATATCACTGTATTTTTATTTCAGTGAGGTTCACTACACATAGAAGTACTCTTATAGTTTAATATTATTTCTGCACAATTGCATTAATAAAAAAGCTTGATGGAAGTGTAAAGTCAGGACTTTGAGTTTATTCACAGTTTACACAGTGAGTTATTAGTAGTTCAGCAGCTCAGAGAGAATTTTTTTGTTTCAACAATTTTCTGAATTCTCATCCTGATCACCACCTTCATGTGGCCCTGTCGGGTGTTCATGGGTCTCAATGACGTTTTTTAGACGTCGGTGGTCAAGTCAAATGGAAAGTGGAAAGGAGATCTGTGTGCTGATTTCAGGAGCAACAGAGAAACATAGAAACAGATGGGCGTTTTCAGAGTTTAAACAGTTTGCATCCCTTTGACTGATGGCCATGAAAAGAGATTCTTGCTTTGTTACCAAACTCTCTTGATTTTCACAATGAGATCAGAGTATTTCTCAGGGAACCTGATAATTATCAATTAAAAGATACATGCCCATTACGTTATTTTAATAAGAACCAAAACTGAATTAAATGAAAAATGGAATGAGACAAGCTGAATTCTATTTTAAATCTGACCAAGGTTAACATTCAGAAACTCTCCTACAAACCTGCCTCCTCATTTCTGTCCTACTTCAGGTGGAGTCCTGCCTCCTTCCAGGAAATACCTCACTTGTGTCTCTGTGTTTAGTGTCCAGGTGTGGAGTGGGAGCTTGTTGTTTGTGTCTCTGTGTGGAGAAACTGTAAGTTTGCTTTGTTTCCTCTTTCAACCGCTTGTCTTTAGTAACTTGAGCTTAAGATCTGTGGACTCAGTAGTCTCCTAAAGAAATGTCCTGGTATTTCTTTGTGACAAACTTCGTGATCTTTATCTTGGAAGGTATAAATCAAATTTTACTTACTAACTTTATTACCAGATTGTGAAGTGAGATATTTTTATTTATGTAACATAAAATAAATCAGATGTATAATCATAAAATGTAAAATCAAACAAACTCCTGACATCATCGTCTCTTAGACTTTTTACAGCTCTATTAATAACCTGTTGTTGCTGTTGATTCTTCACAAACATCAGGTGTGCTGCAAACTGAAACTATGCTGCATGCAGTTTCTAGTTTTTCTAGTTTAAACATATGAAGAATGCTTCCTTGGCTGAAAACACCGATCATCAGCTTTGTTTCTCATGAACATGTGAGACAGGAGAAATCTTCTCGTGTTCTGCTTGCACTAATTCAGGTCACTAAACAGTTTCCCAGAAATCCTGCTGGGATCTTTGTTCTGTTAGTCATGTGTGCTCTTAAAATGAAAAAAATGAAGAAAAAAATTCTTGTAACAAAAGAGAAAATCTGTGCCTTTTTGTTTTTCAGTTCTTCTGCAGTTCATCATCTGCTTTCAGATAAATGATAAACTGTGTTAAATAAAAGAGAGCATAGAAAGGTACTCCAGATACTCCTCTAGTCCAAAAATAAAATAAGAAGTCAGAAATCAGTGGAAGAGATTCATTTGTACGTTTTTAATGTCACAACTTATCTGAGTTAAAAAGAAAAGTCACGATTTGTTTCTTTGGGATATTTAAAACATCCTCAGGTGACCAAATTATTGTACAGGCTAAACATTAGCCACTCAAATATACAGCAAATTCCTAAACCTCCTTTATACTACTTTCATAGACCTCACGGGTCTATGAATAAAAGATCTGTTTGTACACAGACAATAAAAAGCTGCATTTACATGAAGGAAAAGTTGTTAGTGGAGCTCTTCATTCATGTCATTTTAGGATTGTGTAAATGTGACCCAGCTCATAATAATAACTAATAACTAACTAAAACATTGATAACGAAAAACAATTGTAGACAATTACATATCAGTTAGTATGCAGCTCCAGGTCTACATGCCCATTATTCTTTGGCAAGATACTCACCCCAACTTGTTCTCCAATCATTTCCAAGCATCCAGCAGGGTGTGAAGGTTTGATAGAAAGTGCTTGCATAGAAAAAATGCTCATGTGAATTTGTGAATGAGGCAAGTTGTACTGAGGCAAGCACTTTGAGTTGTCAGGTCGAGTAAAAAAGCTCTATATAAGAATGAGTTGAGACAGAAGAAATGCTCTAAATAAACAAAATTATTGATGAGAGTATTTTCAAAATATGTTTTAATAAAGTGATATAAAATAATCATGATCACTTGTACTCCAATATTTCTATATAATAATACAAAATAACAGTTACTGATTTTTTACTTTAAGCCAAACTGCAGATGTCAGTCTTTCTCTATCTCAGTGTGAAACTGAGAAAATTAAACACTTTAGAACAAACAGATATTTGTTAAAATGGGTGCATATTTTACTTTATATAAACTAAACTATTACTGTCACACTTCAGGGATCACGAGCAAACAATTAGCGTAGACATTTTTTTTGGTCACTGTCCTATAATAAGCTTGTCCTCTTTCTCCTTTTGGCCGCTCACTTACGAGGTCTCCACAGTGGCTCATCGGCCTTCTTCACACCTCCTGTAATACTGACCTTCTCTATCCATGAATCTTCTCTGAGGTCTTCCTTTTCACCTGCTGCATCCCAGCTCTATCTTCGTCATCTTTTGTTCAGTATATCCACTATCCCTCCTCTGCAGATGTCTAAACTCAGCCTCTAACTTTGTCTCCAAAGCATTTGACTCTAGCTGCCACTCTGATGTACTCATTTCTAATTTACTTTCTTGGCGTCTCTCAATGAAAATCTCAGTACAGAGAGCTGTAACTACTAAAAATTTCCTTCGGTGTAAATTAAAGATACACAGTCAGAAAACACCAGTCTGGCATGAACTGAATTCAAGACCAGTTGTGAAACTCCAACTCCTCCTTCCTGTCACTGGTGGTTCACATTAATCCAGAACTGACAGAGTGTTACTGGATGGAAGAAGATTCTTATTACCAGTAAATCAGTGTGTGTACAGCTCTCTGCAAACTCAGCAGGAATAGTTACTGTGAAGCTTTTAACTCTAATGATCCTCTTTGAATCATGGATCAGCTGGAATGTTTGAAAATGTTGTTCACACATGTTGAAATGACTGAATATTATTGGACTGAAGTCACTGTCAATCAGTGTGTGTCAGCGAATGCATCATGTGTGCGTCATGGCTCCATCTAGTGGACTCATAGTAGAAGTAGAGCAACTGATTGCAGCTTCTTCTGCCTCACACTTCTGTCTGACTGCATTCAGCTGACACTGAGATGAAGCAGGAAAGAAGCAGCTGATATTTGGACAGCACACATGATGGAAAGGAGGATTTCAGTTAATGTGCACATGAATGATTTGTGTTTCCTCTGCAGGTGAAGGTAGAAAGTGTGTGTGAGCTGATGTGAATTCAGCAGCATGGATCAGTGTGAGGACAGAGAGGAGGGAGCCCGTCCCTCTGAAACCACTCTGTGTGGGGAACATGAGAGCCAGACCAAAGCACAGAGGTGAGATGACCGTTTCTAACTGTCCATGACTCTTCTCCATGTCACAGCTCAGCACTCACATCACTGCTCCATCATTATTCACAGGAACCAACCTGGACCTCCACCCAGCTGTGTGTCCTTAAAGAGTGACCGGTCTAAAGAGAAAGTCATTGGTTTTAAAGAGGGGCAGACGTCTGCTGCAGACAGGTTATCTGTTAGTAACGTGAAGAATTTGAGAGGTGGCTCTCATTTGCTTTGCTCTTAGAATATAAGCCAGCAGATTGGCTACTTTTTTTCCCGGACTGGATGAACAGCTAAATATTGTTTAACAGTTAAATTATATTGATGAGATAAACTAGTCACTAGCATCTGTGTCTTTTCCTTTCCTTGACTCTGACAGATTTTCTGTGATCTAACTCTTCATGGTTCCTCCACAGTGTGGATCAGGAGAGCTTAGAGGTTCCCAGTGGCCAGTCTGACCAGCATCATCAAACACACCTGGACTCCATATTTATGGTCTGTACATGTACAACAACTACTTTTACATCTTCATGATGCTCTTTGTGGAACAGTGGATAATCAGTGTTTGGCTCCATGATTTCAGTATAATTGGGTCATTCATGAAGTATTCTGTTCCAGTTGCTGGAGGAAAACATCATTACCTTTGTGAAGAATGAGCTGAAGAAGATCCAGAAGGTTCTGAGTCCAGGTTACCCAGAATGCTTAGAGAGTCAGAGGGAGGATGAGGAGGAGGAGCAGAGGAGGAGCAGCAGAGAGGCATTTGTGAAAATCACCCTGGACTTCATGAGAACAATGAAGCTTGATGAGCTGGCTGACCGTCTGCAGAGCAGTAAGAAGATTTCACTGAAGATTTAGGTTGCTGGTGTTCAATAGAAAACTTACTAATTTCAAAATACATAGACCAACCTGTACAAATGATCATAAAAGGAATTTAGATTGTCTGTATGTTTTTTTTTAAAGTACATTATGTTGTACTTTTTTTGTTGTTTTTTCTCTGAAAACTTCTAGATGCCATTTGTCCTCACAAACTTAAATCTACACTAAAGGAGAGGTTCCAGTGTGTGTTTGAGGGCATCGCTAAAGCAGGAAACCCAACCCTTCTTAATCAGATCTACACAGAGCTCTACATCACAGAGGGAGGGACTGCAGAGGTCAATGATGAACATGAGGTCAGACAGATTGAAACAGCATCCAGGAAACGAGACAGACCAGAAACAACAATCAGACAAGAAGACATCTTTAAAGCCTCATCTGGACGACTTGAACCAATCAGAACAGTGCTGACAAAGGGAGTGACTGGTATTGGGAAAACAGTCTTAACACAGAAATACATTCTCGACTGGGCTGAAGACAAAGCCAACCAGGACATCCAGTTCATGTTTCCATTCACTTTCAGAGAGCTGAATGTACTGAAAGAGAAAATGCTCAGCTTGGTGGAACTTGTTCATCACTTCTTTACTGAAACCAAAGAAGCAGGAATCTGCAGCTTTGAAGACTTCCAGGTTGTTTTCATCTTTGATGGTCTGGATGAGTGTCGACTTCCTCTAGACTTCCACAAAACTACAATCCTAACTGACCCCAGAGAGTCCACCTCAGTGGATGTGCTGCTGGTAAACCTCATCAGGGGGAAACTGCTTCCTTCTGCTCACCTATGGATAACCACACGACCTGCAGCAGCCAATCAGATCCCACCTGGCTGTGTTCACAGGGTGACAGAGGTCAGAGGGTTCACTGACTCACAGAAAGAACAGTATTTCAGGAAGAGATTCAGAGATGAGAAGCAGGCCAACAGAATCCTTTCTCACATCAAGATATCACGATGCCTCCACATCATGTGTCACATCCCAGTCTTCTGCTGGATGACAGCTACAGTTTTGGAGAATGTGCTAAAAACCAGAGAGGGAGGACGGCTCCCCAAGAACCTGACTGAGATGTACATCCACTTTCTGGTGGTTCAGGCCAAAGTAAAGAAGGTCAAATTTGATGAAGGAGCCCAAACAGATTCACACTGGAGTCCAGAGAGCAGGGAGATGATTGAGTCTCTGGGAAAACTGGCTTTTGATCATCTGCAGAAAGGAAACCTGATCTTCTATGAATCAGACCTGACAGAGTGTGGCATCGATATCAGAGCAGCCACAGTGTTTGCAGGAGTGTTCACACAGATCTTTAAAGAGGAGAGAGGACTGTACCAGGACAAGGTGTTCTGCTTCATCCATCTGAGTGTTCAGGAGTTTCTGGCTGCTCTTAATGCCATCTGACCTTCATCAACTCTGGAGTCAATCTGCTGGAAGAGCAACAAACCACCTCCCAGAAGTCTGAAACAACAGAATCTTCAGCGTCTCACTTCTACCAGAGTGCTGTGGACAAGGCCTTACAGAGTCCAAACGGACACCTGGACCTGTTCCTCCGCTTCCTTCTGGATTTTTCACTGCAGACCAGTCAGACTCTCCTACAAGGTTTGCAGACACACACAGAAAATAGTTCACAGACCATTCAGGAAGTAGTCCAGTACATCAAGAAGAAGCTCAGTGAGAATCAGTGTGGAGAGAAAAGCATCAATCTGTTCCACTGTCTGAATGAACTGAATGATCGTTCTCTAGTGGAAGAGGTCCAGCAGTACATGCGCTCAGAAAGTCCCTCCATACGTAATCTTTCCCCTGCTCAGTGGTCAGCTCTGCTCTTAATCTTAGTCTCATCAAAAAAAGATGCAGACCCAAAGACATTTTCTTCAGAGGGTGCTCTTCTGGAGCTGCTGCCAGAGGTCAATGCCTCTAATAAATCTAAGTAAGTAAATATGTGCTGATGCCTTTATTTGGTAAATGGTTATTCTAGTTAACATAATTCATGTGTGCAAAGTTTGAAAAAACTATAATGGTTCAGGGGTTTGAAAAATATATAAAACATTTACATTGTCATCATTACTCAATCCAACTGTTAATGCATATGTAGTGGCAACGATTGTCACCATTTCTGACAAAAAAAACTAAGTGCAATTGTTATTAAAGTAATGTCCTGACCCTCCCTGTACTGAATACACTAATTTATCTTTTTGTACACATTTTAATCGGGACACTGTTTATATGAATTGGTTTTGTTTAATCACAAACTGCATTACTTTTTCAGACTGAGTCTCTGTAACCTGTCAGAGACAAACTGTGAAGCTCTGTCCTCAGTCCTCAGCTCCCAGACCTCCAATCTCAGAGAGCTGGGTCTGAGTAACAGCAACCTGCAGGATTCAGGAGTGGAGCCTCTTTCTGATGGACTGAAGTGTCCACAGTGTAAAACTCTCAGGTCAGCTTAAGTGAAATATATATATTTCATGAACTGTCAAAATGACTTAAAGATCAAGGAAAAAAATTGCCAAATGTCATAGTTCTTTAGTCCTGATTACTCTTTAGCCGTTTTGTTCATTTGTTTTTCAGAGTGATGGGCTGTGACCTCTCAGAGAGCAGCTGCGAAGCTTTGTCCTTGGTTCTTAAATCTCAGTCCTCTAGTTTAGGAGAGCTGGACCTGAGTAACTCCAACCTGCCGGATTCAGGAGTGAAGCGTCTTTGTGATGGACTGAAGAGTCCGAACTGTAAACTAAATACTCTTAGGTCAGACCGAGCTATATATATTTTTTCATCTGATGACAGAATTAATAAGTTAAATGTTTTAGCCAAAGGAATGACTGGGTCCAGAGAAGAAGCAGGATTAGATATTGCTAAAATAATAATACAGAATTTCACTTTAACAAAAAGGTTATTTTTTCATTTTTGTTAATCTGTTATCTTTCAGACTGAGTCACTGTAGCCTCTCAAAGAGAGATTGTGAAGCTCTGTCCTCAGTTCTCAGCTCCCAGTCCTGCAGTCTGAAAGAGCTGGACCTGAGTAACTCTGACCTGCAGGACTCAGGAGTGAAGCTTCTGTCTGTTGGATTAAAGAGAGCTAACTTTAAACTGGAAACTCTCAGGTCAGGTTTCAAACTTTTCCACTGATTATCATTTGAAATCTAAATTCAATTGTTCTATAAAAAAGTGAACATGTAAAGAATGTTATTTGACTTTGAATCATTGTTAGAAGTCTTTTCAGTAACATTTCCTTAGTGATGTATTTAAAGAAATTTACTTAGCACCAGTAAAGATAAAGATTTGGGGCCATTATACGTTTATTAAGAAAATATCCAAATCAGATGTTTAGGGGTTTATTATTTCTACTACTACTACTACTTTTTTCGTCTCTCTGAGATCATCCCTTGTTCTTGCCCTCACTCTGCAACCAGTCATGGTAGATGGTCCTTTTGGAGACTGTTTTCATTGGAAATATATTTGTGTAAAAATAAGGCAAAATTAAATACAACACGAAGTTATTGAATAATGTTATTGTATCTGAAAAACAGAAAATCATTGTTCACAGATGGATTGTTGTTTTGTGTGTCTGCAGTCTGTCAGGCTGTCTGATCACAGAGGAAGGCTTTACTTCTCTGGCCTCAGCTCTAAGCTCCAACCCCTCCCATCTGAGAGAGCTGGACCTGAGCTACAATCATCCAGGGGGCTCAGGAATGAAGCTGCTGTCGGCTGCATTGAAGGATCCAGGCTGGACACTGGACACTCTCAGGTATGGAGAGAATGACTGATAGAGGAGGAAGACCTGGAAACATTTCCTGTGTCCTACACTCACTTCCTGTTTGTTTCATACACGTCACATGAAATGATCCATAAAGGATAGAAATGTAGGAGGTCTTTAGGGAGACCTTCACCAGGAACATTTTTTTACATATCTCAGTATACTTAACAGTGCAGATTAAGGAAATATTTATCCCAGAATACAACAACTACTGGAACCAGGGGTAACTGTTGGCCTAGCTTTATCAAAAGAATAAAATCACTATTCTATTTTTAGAGCTGTGGTAGAA